AGTGGGCTCTGGTCTGTCCGCACAACTGTGCAATTTCTGTGTGTGTCCACTTGGAGGCCCAAATCATTTGAAAATTGATTGTTGATGTGGTTTCTTTGCAGCAGACATTCGGCGCCTCCAGTCGCCAGTCGTTTTGCCCCGTCTTTTTGTTGATTTTTCGTGTCAACGATGCGAATCTTCTCCATCCCCTTAGCCAAATGTCTCGCAGTGGCTTTCAACGCCTCTTTGCTGGTTTTTGGGCCAACAATTGCCAGGGTCAATGGTGGAGAAGACCTGCTGGCAGGGAGATGGAATGGCCGCACGTTTAGGGTATAAATTTGCTGGCATTTGCAGAGATGAAGTGCCAGAAAAGATAATTACACATCAGCGAAAACGAAATCATTCCGTAGGCTATTAATTTTTGAAAAGACTTATAATTACAAGAATGGATTTATTTGTAAATTTGAAAGAAAAGCACGTTAAAAACTGGATCTGGATTATTTATAAAAATTACTAAAAAAATCAGTGACGAGCGTGAATATAAATAAATTATATAATTTTGCAAGGGAAAACTTTAAATGGGTGTTTAACTTAGGAGCTGAATTACTTTTTGCCTTCAGTTTTTTCGAACTTTAAGGTGGAAGTGAAATATTAAAGTGATGTTTGAATGTATGAAGCACTGGAAGCATTTTCAGCTCCAACGAGAATGTAATCTTCTTTTATTTTTTATTTTGAAAAATTTAAGGAACTCCAGGTCTATCTTTCGTCCTACTTTTGTTTTGCTTTGGAGCCCATTTGGCATTTCCGTCCTTGTAAAATTGCATTCGCATTGCAAAATATGCATTCCTACAGCTTTATAATATGAAAAGTCGTCAACCCTATTTAGGAGCTAATGAAATTATAATTCTCTCGGTTTCGAGCCTTGCTGAGTCTTCATGCGTCTTACTTGCCCTTTCAAATTCCACAGCCGAGTGTGAAGAAACCTCAATAAATTAGCCGCTACACGCAAACCAATAAGCCATAAAGTACTTTCAATTAGTGGCAATAATTACATTATATGTATGTACATATATGGTACATCATGTGACATGTAGCGCTTTCACCCTGCCTTGTTGCAGTTGGCAAGTATCAGGCAACATTGACCATAAAGCCATTAAAACATTAACTTATATTATTTTCATGGAGCAGCAAAAGAAACCCAAGCAACGAGAGAGAGTTCATTATCCTTGGGGCCGAGACTGGAGGAGCTATGTAATTGCCTGCGGCCCAAGTGGCTGTGCTGTTAATTTAGCCAAGTCCAATTGAGTTGTACTCGTACATGGCCGACAATTAAGGCGGCACAGACAATTGCTATTTATTTACCCGGGCTCTCGCTCTGAATCTGGGCTAATTGAATTGCATTCAAAGAGATGCACCTGGCTCTGACTCGGAGGCTCGTTCGTCGGCCATGGGTTCTAAGAATAAATTGCATTTGAGAAGATTCTCTTCACTGCCACTCCTCTGCGACTCCTTGAGGTTTTACGGCACGTTGCAAATGAATAGCATTTGGTAGCATATGTTTCCTTTTGCCATGGCTTCGCTCTGAATGAAGTGCAATCCGCATATGTTCGTCTCGATTGCCAACCAAGTCAATTTGTCAACTGTAAATTGAGTCATGCACTCGACTCCACTCGTTTGGGAATTTATCCACACTCTCGCTCTTGGGGATGATGTGGATTCCCACATAACCCACTAACCAACTAACAATTGCATCCAAATTACAAATAGGCGATGGCACACAGAATCCAAATACGTTTTGACATGCGAGATGAGATGAGGTTGAGGTGGTAATCTATTCAGGGATTCTCCTTCTGGCTTATGGTTTACTGCCACTTGTTTTGTCACAAAAGTCATTTCATGCGCTTTGAGCATCGTCCCCATTATCCATTCGCACATAAATTCCAAGATGGCAAATCGGGTATGAAATCATAAATTTATGCATATCAGGCCATTTATTTAAATTTCTGCTGCTACCGACCTTTGGGTTGAGCAAAAATGGCAGACGTTGTGGTCTGATTGTCACAAATGTAAATTTATTGTGATTTTTCTTAAGGTTAGCGTGCGGTTTAGTGTAATTTAATGCTTAGCTTAAAGTCTTTTATGGTATACGATATGGTGATGATTGTAGTGGGCTTGCATCTGTTGGGACTATAGTAAAGTCCAATTACAATTACTATAACAACAAATGTTATGTCATTTACTAATAAATGACATAAATGACATTCTTTGAAATATTTTAAGGATTAGTAGCTTTTTTGTTTTAGATAAGTGCCACTACATAACTAATGTAAAAAAGGACTAATGTAAAATGGAGGATTTATTTTGAAGTAAAGGATTAAAAGGCAGAGCTATCAGAGATAACATTCGCAGCATCGAACTTATGTGGTTTCTCGCCTTCATGCAATTTCAATTTGTATTGCTTTTAAAGAAACTAGATCTATTTCCCTTGTTTTGATCCACAAAATTTAATTAAATATAGGATTTCATATCAACAAAGAAACCGGGATGTCTTGACGTCAGCTTTCACGAATCTATTTTGCTATGATCCCAATATAAATGTTTTGTGTTTTTCTTGTGGTCTTTCTATTTTCTATCTTTCAGATAAATACATACGTAGATAAATCTTTGTGATATACTCGAATATTTGTAGATGGCTATGCTCAACAATATTTATAAAACGCAATCATGTGTGAACTATAAAAGAGAGCTGAGCAAGAAATACAGAACACAAAGTACAAGACAACGAACAAGCTAAAAAATTGTACCAAATGAATATAGTAGAAGAAATTCAGTCTAAAAAATAAATGAAACTGAAAGTTTCGACCTTCCAAGATCTGAACATTGGCCAGTAGACACCCCCAGCAAAAAAAAAGAGAAATATTATCTAGCGAAACACTTGTCCCAAACATATCAAAACATTGTCCACACTGGTGCTGTCATCCGTGGACTGACTTGAGTAATAATATAGATATATTGTATATATATTTTTTATTACATATTTGTTTTGGGTTGGGGTTGGTAAAAGCAGGCCCTCTCCCCTTTCTATACGTTTTCTCTGTTTCATGAATGGAATGCAAAGTGGGATACATTCGTACGAGTATGTGTGGATATATCAATTTGTATACTTTTAAAGTCAAAAATAATAAACAGGATGTACAATTTGTGTTTTCAGTGACGTCAGCAGACTATTGATAAACGCATGACTTCCTTTCAGATTCAGATCCCCTAGGGGCTGGCCACAGACCGGTTCATTTACTAACTGTTAATGGCTTTTCAATGTGTATATCCCAGAAATATTTTTAGAGCGAAGAACTTTTGACTCAAATTGTCAGCCACAATGTTCTACATAGAATCAAAACAAATTGGTATAAACGTGAAAAGCATTTGCCTATTTTGCCAGTTTTTAATGGCATCATCAACATCAATCCATCATCTGCGTACATTTTGTGACCAGATTCAAGGTTAGATCTGTGCAATTTCCATATAAATAGGTTTCTTTTGAAATGCATTGACCCTTGTGTCCTTGGGATTTGGGAGAATCAAATTGGTACAGGAAAATTCTGTAGAAATATTCGAAAGAGGGATGGAGAGCTCAGCTGAGACTGAGATAATATAATTTTCCATTTTCCAGCTAGAAGAAAAATCTTTGTTCGTCTGGCATTACATTTTAATGAAATTATAAACAAAATTTGTATTCGAAAGCCAAATAAATTATGGAAGGCATTGAGAGAACGCAGGTATATAGCATTTTGGCTGGTTATGTATCCACTTCCCCAGTCTCTTCCTCTGCAATTGCGGGGGGAACAATTAATTTTCAAGTTCATTTGCGTGGGCCGTTTGTCGGCTGGGGAGCAGAGCCGATCAGACCCTAGCCTGACCATAGACCATATAGATACAGATTTCGGGTTGCAGAACGCACACAGATCATGCGAGAGGAGAGAGCATATATCCAAACAGATATCGCGTATATGTATGTGTACATACAATATTTATTTTTATATTCAGAGAAAATTCATTTGAAGGTGTCTGCTATGTGTTAAGGTTAAACATCTACATATCTGTACATATATATGTATATCTATATATATAGACTCGCTTGGAAACTATGTGGTAGTGGTCTGAATAGGGGGCATATGTATGTGTATATAAACGTATACCAGTATTGTATTCTAAACGGCATAATCGTAGAGTGAGAGATAGAGATGGAGATATTAAAGAGAGCTTTTGAGGAATTATGTGTGACATTAAAAAAACATTATGCTGTATTTACGAGTCCCAAGATAAAGAGAAACTATAAATTTTAATATAGAGATGTAGTTGGCTTAGATGGAAAACTAAGGGCATGCAATTTTTTGTTTTATTGGTAATTAAATATGAGCTCTCAAAGGTGTTTGATTCCCATTGCAATGGGGGAAAATATAATATTTTTAAATTTGTTAGACACATTATATGAAAAATGAAATACCGCTTCCTATATAAATCATTTTTCGTTAAGCTTAAATCATTTGGCAAGGCTAAGGTGGGGCGTTCTGTTCATCACCTGTTCATCAAACAAGTAAATCCGCAAATATCAAAACTTTCAGAGTGTGTATTTTAAAAGTGTTTTTGTCGGCACATACAGACAAAATGCTCATAATCAGGGTTTTGCCAATAATTGTATATTTTTTGTTTTGTTTGTTTGATAATCTGCTATGACTCAAAATGTATATTTGTAGATGATTTTGTACTTTTGTTGTGTTCTGTGGTGGCAAACCAAAGCAAATTATTCGTCCGCCGCATTGACATTGTAGAGCTCTTACAATTTGCTCTTTTTGTTCAGTTTGCGTTTCGTTTCATTTGACAAAGCCATATACGATTGTCCTTCACATTGGGCTTTTGGGGGATTTATTAGAGAGCAAGTGTGAGAGTAATAAAATGTAGATAAATTATAGTTGGAATTTCATTCAGTCAGTCCGTGTCGTGTCTGACTGTGACAGCTAAATATCTTTCACCCCCAGATGTAATTTATAATTGAATTGTGTGTAATTCTGTTTGGTTATATACGTACTATAAGAGTAATTCTATGGCAAGCAAATTGTATTTTGCATGTGTGCCCCACTAAATAATTAGCTTCATTATTGACCTCATTTCTCAAGTGACCACAGAGAAAAATTTATTTTATTTATGAATATTTTTTTCTAGGTGTTCGCTTGGTTTGAAATAGGTACACGAGTATGGGCTGATTGCAGGAGGTGTAAAATTAATTAAAATGTTTGGTATTTATTAAGACGGAACGTGTGAGTAGCACACGTGTCTCGACACCAAGATACTCGGTATTCAAAGAACTTAAATCGAAGTAAGCAAGGATCTCTGGATACATTGATCTATTTTTGATCTTACCGTTGAAGTTATGTTTATTCTTTTTAAAGTAGAACCTTGTTGAATTACATTAATAAGTGACATGAATGACAATAATAAGTATATATCAGCAATAATTAATATTATTCTTAATTTAAGGAAAATTAAGATATTTCTATTCAAACATGACTTTTTTTTATATTTTATTTATTTTAAATTGTAGACAATTAAGAAATGTCTCTTTAATATCACAATTTAATTTCCTTTTAGGGCATCCCATTTATCCCAGCCAAATCGTGTGTGTCCTTCAAGAACACATCAAAGGAAAACCCATTTGAATTGAATTAAAAATAGTGCAACTAAAAGTTGGACAACTCGGCCGAGTAATTAGCCAAAACAGTGTGCCAGAAAAGTAAAAGTGAACTCAATGATTGGCGAAATCGGAAAAACCTTTGCCAGGTATTTCCCAATTCCTCAATAGTGTTAATTGTTTCTCTTTTTATTTTTTTGTTGCAGTTCTTTTTTTGTTTGGTTCAAGAAACTGCAATCGTATTGTACTCAAAGTCAAGTTCAAGTTTAAATGAAAGTTTGTTTAAGGGTAACGAATTCTCAATACAAATTTCTATTCGATAAACAAAGTCAAAAGAACATTTGAATGCAAATGCAAATTAAACAACTGCGGTAGCGGATTGTGTTTTTAAAAAGTTTTTATTTTACTTCGAACTTCACTGATATAGATTTAAGTAGAGGGTCACAAAGGAATTCCGGGCCAAGGGATTGCGCGATCTTAATATTTAGCTAGACTTTGCGGTGTCGCTGCTGGATCAAGACTGATTTGAACTTTCTGATCTTTGCATCGTTGATCCCTTTCGGGAATCATTTTTCTATAAACATTTCAATTGATTTCGCCATCCCGAGTATTGGATTTCGTCATCCAAAGAGAGAACTGTAAAAGGCCTAAAGTGCAGGATCTGCAGAAAGCCGGGAGTGAGATTGTTTATGAGAAGCCGGGTGTGGGCAAACATTGGTTTTCCATTTAGGCGAGTGTCAAAGATTGGGATTGCGGCGGGGGCGCTTGAGATTGTACATCTTAGAAATCAATTAGGCGGAGGCCCAAGATTGAAATTGTTTTCGTTTTGGAAAGCCAAAGATTGTTTACAACTCGTATAAGAGCTCAATGGAATTGGGTACGTTAACTCCCCCCATTCTTAAATGTTTCGTCCCGATACATTTTGAAGTTCTGATAGAGCTCTAATTTCTTCTGACAGTATTTGAATGTTGCTTTCCACTATTTCTTCTGACGGTATTCTTATTGATTTAATAAGTACAAATTTGGTTAATTTATAGCCGAAGTAAAATAACATTAACAATATCAAAATGATTAAAAATAATGTTGTTAATGGTAAGGCCGTATTACCTAATGTTATAAGGGGATTTAAAATATTAACATTATCAAAAGAAAATTGCTTATCATTCGATTGTATATAATCGACTAATTCAAAATCGCTATATCTATGATGCGATATATATTTTAGAATTTTACCCTTATCATTTATGTGGGTTATATTATTTATTACAATTGTGTTGTTGAATATAAGGAGATACGATCCTAACAAAGTAGTATTGTCTACGATATTTTTGCCTGAAACTAATATGGCACCATCCTGAATGATGTCTATTTCTTTGTTTTTTTCCCTTTTTTTAGTGCAGTTGGCTTTAAAGCCATTAAGTAAATTGGTGAAACAGGTACTCTTTAAATTTATTTGTGCGTAATTGTTAAAAGTTTCACTTTTAAAATTATTCATTAAATAGTATTTCTCCTTACATTCACAAACTTTTTCACTTATAACTAACATTCCATCATTTTGTGAGATGGCTCTTGCATGGTAAAACTTGCAAATATCTTTAATTTGAGGATATTTTATGTAAATGATTATTAAATCTGCATTTCGAATTATTTTAACCGTTGCAATGTCCAACAGATCAGACAGTTCAACATTATGTTTTTCATGCTTATAAATGTCCTCTATTTCGTTTTTATTTAAAATTTTTGTATTGAAAATTTTTACTTTTAAGAGGGTTATGGTATCAACTAAATTTAGTAGGTCAAAAGTTATTAATTTTAAACGATGCTTTCTCAGTATCGTTTCTTCATTGAAGATGACATTCTTTAATGAATTTGATAGCAATTCAATTTCTTTGAAAAATTTGGAATTTATTACAAATTGTTTATTATTATTTCAGTTAATTCATTTACTTTATTTTGTATTTTCAAAAAGTCGTCATGATCAGGGCTGCCTGCTATCCATTTCCAAATGGTACCTAATTCATTTATTCCCCTTTCTTTCCGTTTTGGAACTAATTCTGAAATCATTAATTTTAATAGACTTAAGTCCATTGATATTTCCCACTCATCGTCTGAATTAATTGATTTGTTGACATATTTGGATTCTTTATCAATTATCTCTCTATAAAAACTCAAATTAGTAATATGGAAAAGTTCAGCGTATGTTTCATAAGTGTAAACGTCTCTGTCGTCTTTGAGCAATAGATAGTCACTATGCGTATAGTCAATTACTTCCGCAGTCGTCAATATAACAAAAGTCAGTATTAGTATATTCGCATACATTTTCTGGAAAAAATATTTAATATTTGATGTTATCTTTATGTATAATTCTGTTTCTATTGTTGATTATAATTTTATTCGGTCGATTTTCCTTAACTACCTGCTTTTTGTATCGGGATTGAAGTTTATTTCTTTCCCCGAATTTCTTTTCATAGACTACTTCTCCTATTTTATAATCTTTTTCTCTTCTATCTTTGTTATGTATCTTAAGCATTTTGGTCTGAGCTTCCTTAAGTAATATTGGATTATGTTTGTGTTCTATTTTGTTATACAATATGTCATATGGCATTTGATTGGTCGTTGAATGTATCGTCAGGTTATATTTCAGTGCCGCCCTTATTATTATTTCTGAATAATCTGTTAGATTTAGTTCATCCTTGATGCACCGCGCTATTTCTGTTAGTGTGGAATGTACCCTTTCTACCTGACCATTTGAGGTGCTGTGTCTGGGATCAGCATAATAAATAGTTAAGTTACTTCTTTGTATGAATGATCTAAATTGTGCTGAAGTAAAGCTTGGTTCGTTGTCAGTCATTAATGATGTTGCTAGCGGAAAGTGTTGTAAAATTTCCATTACCTTATTTTCAATGTTTAGTTTACTTTGAATTTCCTTGACCACCAAGTATTTGGAATAAGAATCTATACAAGTTATGAATGTTAGGTTTTGGGCATAGTATATGTCTAAGTGTAATTGATCTCCTTCTTTTGCTGGAATGGGAGCTTCCCCAATTGGAATTTTTACAGGGTGTCTCTGATATTTGTTTTTGTTACAGATCTCACAATTTTTTATATATTCTTTTAATTTTTTGTGCAGGTTTGGCCAATAATACAGCTTAGTTATTTGTTTGTAATTTTCGTCTAGTCCTCTATGGGCTCTGCAATGTGTTTCTTCTACAATTATAGCTTTATCTTCTGAATTTACTACATCTTGAAGGAACTTTCTCGTGAAGAGAAATTTATTTATGAAGTTTTCCTTTAGCTTATTTTGGATAAGGTATAAATCTTCTAAAGTGCAGTGTATTCCTGTGGTTAAGTGAGGCTGAATAAATTCTTTTAAAATGATTAGCAGATTGTCAACCGTATCAAATTCAATAATATGTCGGGTATTTTCATAAACTCTTACTAACTCATGAACTGTGAATCTCCCTTGCGCTAATAGTAGCTGCTGTTTAAATTGGTTTAGAGGCTTGCTAGTCTCTTGAATGACGTTTTCGAAACTACTCTCTGCTGAATGCTGAGTATTTATGTCTGATTCTGATTCTGTCTGGTCGACATCACTATCTGTCATATGATTTATTTTAATCCGAGATAACGCGTCCGCTACTACGTTAGTTGAGCCTGGCTTATAAATGATTTTTGGTGTGAAACTTTCTATGAAGTAATACCAACGTTTCATTTCAACATTTGGATTTTTTTGCGACATTGCAAAGGACAAAGGTTGGTGATCTGTATGTATTTCAATTCCACTCACTCCGTATAAATAATTTCGCAAATTTTTTAATGCCCATACAATAGCTAATAATTCTTTTTTATTAGTAGCATATAATTGCTCGGTTTTACTTAAAGTTTTAGAAATAAATGTTATGGGATTCCCATCTTGCGACAAAACTGCACCTATTGCTATGTCCGATGCATCTATGGTTAATGTGAATTTTTTATTGTAATCTGGTTGTACTAATTCAATATGTGCTATTAAACTGTCCTTTAAATTATTAAATGCTCCAATTGCTGGTTCATCCAGCTGTATTAATGCTTTCTTGGATGCCCTTCGTGAAACTTTCCCATTTACTCCGCTCAGATATTTTGTTAAAGGTTTGGCAATTGTGGCATAATTTCGGACAAATTTTCTGTAATACCCTGTTAGTCCTAAGAAGCTACGTAGCTCTCTGATATTTTTAGGAATTGGATAGTTTTGTATTGTGGAGATTTTGTCTGGATCTGTTTTAATGATATTTTGGGAAACAATGTATCCCAGAAATTTGGTTTCCAATTGAAAGAATTTAGACTTTTCAAGTGAAATTTTCATGTTAGCGTTTTGCAATATCTGAATTATATGAATTAGATCTTTATAATGTTGTTCTATAGTTTTTGAAAATATTATTATATCGTCCATATAAACGTGACAAGTTTTCCCAACTTGTTCTCTAAGTATATCGTCCATTGCCCTTTGGAAAATTCTGGGAGCGTTCGTCAATCCCATAGGCATTCTTAGAAATTCATATTTGCCGTTATTTATGGAAAAAGATGTTTTTTCAATATCTGATTCCCTCATTAAAATCTGATAGAAACCTGACTCTAAGTCAATGGCCGAGAAATATTTTGCTTTACCTAAATTGGCAAGGATTACTGAAGGATCTTGCATAGGGTATCTATCCGGTATAGTGTTTTCATTAAGTTTCTTAAAGTCTATTACTAATCTATGCTTAGGAGTTCCGTCCTCATTTACTCCCTTCTTTGGTACTACTATTACCGGTGAATTATATGGGCTTTTACTAGGTCTGATTATACCTTCATCTAACATTTTACTTATTTCGTTATTAACGAAATCGTTAACCGAATAAGCGTATGGATACTGCTTGCCATATACCGGTCTATCGTGTTCAGTGTTAATCTCTCCTTTTATATCCGTTCTGAACGGTAACTGTAAATTTATATTGGCATGGTCTTCTTCGATGATAGATACCATTTTCTCTCTGAGATTTTCTAAATTGTCCTCTTTGTAGGTTATTGTGTTATACAATTTCATTTTTTTCAATTCAGAATTTGCATAATTTTGAATGTCGGATATTTCTACGACGGCGCGTTCAGGATTTTTGCATCCCAAACTTTTAAATTGTTTATTGTCGGATAATTCAACGACGGCGTGTTCAGGATTCTTTAATCCCAAACTATTCGAACTTTTAGTGTCGGATAATTCAACGACGGCGTGCTCAGGATATTTTA